GGATGGGGGGGGAGGGGAGCGGGTCCAAGTGTTCCGTGTGAGTATGGCGTAGGATGCGGTTCTTTTGTGGAATTTTCCAGGTGAGAAAGCTTGTTATCATGTCTTGTGCTGGACAACAAGCTGATGTCAGTTGTCCCAAAATGGCATGATGCGCACCCTCCGCAACCGCCGAACGACATATTCAGCTACGCCCTATTCATGTGAGTGTAGAGTAGCCGCTGCGTCCTAGGACGACCTACCTCTCACGACGTTGACATCAGTACAGCTCTTAAAATAGCTCTGCTACTCATTACTTTTCTTCCTTTGAGACACATGATGGTATGATCACACATACAATACCCGCCGTAATTGTTCGAAAAAAAACGCAGATCCGCGTTTTTTTCGTTTGATCGCTATCTCAAATCAATTTATGTGGAATTTTTCATATATTATCCCATACCGTTAGACTCAGCTCGTCGAGTTCTATAAGCTGGTATCCTAAAAAACTGAAAAAGTCGAAAATTGAACTCTGCTTCCTATCGAAGTACCTGAGGACACTCGTTAGCGAGCGAGTCTCGCTATAATTGTAACCAGAGGGTAATCGTTGAAAATCAAATATCATCAGGAATCAAATAGTGCTGTATAGCGTAAGAATTGATTAGAAATTAGATAGTTGTATCTTCCAAACGATGCTGATCGTAACGGTGCCAATTTTCCTGAAAATGGATGGGTTTCGCTCGATGTCATTTTCGGACGATATAGCCTTTTCAGTCCGAAAAATCTCGAGCACTGGTTCAGTTCGGACCACACGAGCACAACGGCCTAATGTATGGAGCCCTGTTTTCCCCAATATTCGCGAAATTCAAGAATGAAGTCAAAAAAGGGTTTTTCAGCTACTTGAAATGAGCACTTCGCACGATACTACTGCAAATACTCGATTTTCAGCGTTTTTGAGCAGGATTTCTAGCTCTCTCAGTGGCCCCAAAAATCCATAGAAAAGCTCCATACAGGAGGCTTTGAGCTTCTCAACAACTTGGTGGAAAACAGTGGCATAATTCAGACTGGTTGTTGTTATCGGGTGCCAACTTCAAGACTATTTCAGAGCAAAATTTACGCGTTTTCCAAAGAAAGAAAATCTTAGTTAAAGTAGTACTAATCAAATCCCCACGAAAAATGCTATCTATTTAAAAATCCCCTCATGGGACTTCCTATGACCGGTCGCTGTTTCCCGCGGTATCTGCCTGTCGGCGCCTCAACCGCCTAGTGAAATCATCCGACTGCCTTCAAATACGAGAACTCAGTTGAACTGTAGTAACTCTCCATGATCTGGTGGGTCATGGAGAATAGAATCCATTCATGGAGGAGGTTGTTATTCAAAGCGCAAAGTTTTTTTGAAATTTCGATGAAAGTTCAAATTTGAATTGAAAGCAACATTTCCTCGAACCAGTTCTCACGAACCTTCTGCGAAATAGGGAACAGAAGAGACCGCGCTTACAGACCTTGACACCTCGGTGGGATGACTACTTAGGAGGTCGGCTGAGCGCTGACAGGGCAGATAGCCGGGGAAAACATCGAAAGGTCGTAGAAAGTTCCATGAGGTGATTTTCATATGAATAAATAGCATTTTTCGTGGGAATTTGAATAGTACTACACTGACTAGGATTTTCTTTCTTTGGAAAACGCGTAGAATTTTGCTCTGAAATAAATTCTTGAAGTTGGCACCCGGAAGCAACAACCACTCTGAAATATGCCACCGTAAAACCAATTTGTTGAGAAGCTCAAAGCCTCCTGTATGGAGCTTTTCTATGGATTTTTGGGGCCACTGAGAGACTTAGAAATCCTGCTCAAAACGCTGAAAATCGAGTATTTGCAGTAGTATCGTGCGAGGTCCTCATTTCAAGTAGCTGAAATCCTTCTATATGACTTCATTCTTGAATTTATTTATTTATTTATTATATGCACTCCTAGGTGCGCTACATTCCTTGATACCATAATCAGGTCGGGACTAAAAGAAGAACGAAAAGAAAAGAAAAAGAATACAAAAAACACCACAGAAACGTAACACAACTCAAGAGAACACAACACAAATGAGCTCAAATGGCACAGAACGGACACAAAATGTCAGCGGAGTAGTAGAATAAGTATAACTACTACCTACAAAGTTCATCATAGGTAAGGAATTGTCCAGTCGAGTATGTAGTAGAAAACAAAGAAGAAGAAGCCGCCCGTCTCATCCCCTCCGAGCTGTAGTGATACGTGAAATCAATCGGACGAGCAAGAGGTAAAAAATATGGAATCAGAGACTGGGCTCTGACCCGCCATCTATTAGGTCCATTATTGAACTATCTCCTCAAGTGATAAGCTCAGGGCGAAACTATTAGAATACTTCGTTGCCTCCCAACTGGAGAATTCACTACCTAACTAGCAAAATTTCGGTGTTAACAATGAGCAGAACATAGTCCCGGAAATACAGAAGTAGGTCCCAGAGTAGTCCAGATCGACTGATAGGAGCTCGGAGAGTATGGCAAAACAAAATTCCACTACTATCTTGCTACCGTACATCCTCAACTTTCAGAATTCTGAAAATAT